AGCATTCCCATGCCGTTTTGCAATTTCCTACACTTGCGAGACCACGGACTGCCTCAGGTTGTAAGTAATGGACAAAATAATGTGGGTAACTTACCCAGTGACTTCCCAAAACTTAGGGTTGATGGCATTAATTTACAAGAATGGTATCAACAGCTCCAGGTTGTCTTTATGAAAGAAAATTTACTATTTTTATCACTAGTCCCCCAAGAAGACCTTGGACTTTAAAAATAGATTGTTTACACCATAAGGCATTTTTCTTAATAATATCTAGCGTGTCTCCTGCAATGTATCATAGCATCAAACCAAATCTAACTGTTTCAGAAATAATTCAATGCATGTTTAATTTGTTTCACAGCGATAGTGTAGCTACCACCACAAGAATGTCTAAGGACTTCTTTTCTTCCAGAGTAAAACCAGGGGTTTCCATAAGTGAGCATTTAATATCTTTAAACAAAATAAGAGCTGAGCTGCATTTGAGGGGGGAAAGTGATTTCAGATCAAACAATGAAAAGTGTTATTATCAACTCACTTGATTCATCATGGGATAGTTTTATGTCACACTTAGACACCATCAATCTAGGATATTTGTCAATAGAAAGTCTGTCTAACAAATTGATAGCAGAAGACAATTCAAGAAAAAATCGTTATAGCAATCACACAGAACACAAACCTTTTAGGAAGGTAGCTTTCCAAGAAAAATATAATGAAACTTTTAAATGCCACAATTGTGGGTCCAGAGAACACAATAGAAGAGATTGCCCCAAAATTTCAAAGGAAAGACATAGGTCAGAATATAGGAATAAATACAATTATAGACAGTCTTCCACAGATAGACATAAATATAGAAGCCCACCAAATTACAGAGAAAGTAGAGGGGGCAGAGAAAATTCAAAAGAGAGAAACTCTGGTTCACTGAATGGACTAAATACAAGATAGCACCAAAACGCAACCAAATGAGAACAATAATTGGCTTATTGATTCTGGAGCAACTAATCACACCACTAATAACAAAAATATATTGTCTTCATTTACAGAAGATAAGTTTGTAATAAAGGTAGCTAATCAAGAAAAAGTTCAAGTATTAGGCAGAGGGAATGTGACCTTGCCTGGTCTAGGAAAAATAGAGGGGGTATTGTTAATACCAGAAATACCTCATAACATACTAAGTGCCATAAAATTAAGCAGAGATTCTGACATCAATATAGTTTTCTCAAAGGGAAAAGCAACTTTAGAGAAGAATAAAACAAATGTAGGCACTGTGATGATTAAAGGAGGCCTACCCTATCTGATAACAAAAGAAAGATGGTTACATAACATTGATTCAAATATGGAAGATTGCATTGAGGCAGATGATGAAAATATTAGTAACAGTGACAATGATGAATGTAAAATATCTCATGATCACACAGATACACACAATGAGAAGAAACCAAAAATAGGTAAACCAATTCATGACGAGTGTGCTCATATCTTACATAGGAAGTTAGGACATGCAAGTTTTCCTGTAGTACAAAAAATGACTGAACACGCAGAAGGTGTCAAAATAAAAAATTGTGAAAATTATTTGGAATGCTCAGTATGTAAATCTACTAAATTAAAAACTAGTCCCAGGCCAAAAAAATCCACCAGATCAACTAACAAAATTTTTGACTTAGTACACATGGACTTAGTTGGTCCATTAACTCCATCAATCACTTATAGAAAACGTTACTTCCTAACAATAGTAGACGATTACAGTCGCTATGGTTTTGTTTACACATTAAAACACAAGGATGAAACCTTTCAAAAATTTAAGGAATTTTACAAACGCATAGAAACACAACATAATATCAGAATAAAACAAATTATGACAGATAGGGGATGTGAATTCATGTCTAAGGAATTCTCCCAATGGTTAAAGGATAGAGGAATGCTACATTACACATCTAGTCCATTTTCTGCGTTCCAAAACGGGATTGCAGAGAGAAAGAATTCCACATTACAAACCATGATTAGATGCACATTAGAGGATGCTGGTTTAGGCAAACAATTTTGGTCAGAAGCCTTACATTATTCAAATTACACTCAAAATAGAACCTGGTCCAGTATTGTGAATAAGACACCATATGAGGTGATGTATAATAGGAAACCAAAATTAGCACACATGCACATATTTGGGGTCACTGCAGACGTACACATACCCAAACAATTGAGGAGAAAGGGAGAAAACGTATCCAGAAGATTAAGATTTATGGGATATGAAACTGGCACCAAAGGGTACAGATTCATTGATAATAATAATAAATTTATAGTTTCCAGAACAGCTGTGTTCCATGAACAGGCCAACTGGTCTAAATTACATCTTAATGAAATATTTCCGAATAAATGCAAGGATACCAAATCTCGTGAGGAAGGGACGATAGAAAATCAAAATATTAACAAAAGTAAAAGCAAAACCAAAACATGGACAAATAGTCAACACAAAATAAAAACAGACACATTAACAAAAAAGGAAGCAAGATATTTGCATGACTACCATAGCAAACCAGAAAGAGCTATTAGGAACAACAGAAATCAAATACCAAATAAATACAAAGATTACATAATGCATATGGATGGTGAACAAATAACACCTAATACATATGAGGAAGTATTAAAACTACCTCGTGAAGAAAAAGAAAAATGGGAACTAGCTATGAAAAAAGAGATGGAGAGTTTGCAAGGATTAAATGTATTCACACCTGCGATTGCACCCAAAGATAAAACAATTATTGGTACCAGGTGGATTTATAAAATTAAGAATCTAGAAGGAGGCAATACCTTATACAAAGCTAGATTGGTTGCACAAGGTTATGCACAAAAATATCCGGAGGACTATACTGACACATACTCCCCCACAGTAAGAACAGAGAGTGTTAAAACAGCTCTAGTAGTAGCATCCACACTCAATCTTGATGTATTTCAATATGACATACAGACTGCGTACCTACACGCAAAACTAGATAAGGAAATATACGTAAGAGCACCTCACAGTCAATACACTAATAAAAATGAAATTTGGCTATTGAACAAGAGTTTATACGGATTAAAGCAATCTGGCAAAAGATGGTACGATTGCTTGGTAAAAGTACTTAAAACCATGGATTTCAACGCTACCACTGCTGATAATTGTTTCTTTGTCAAAAAGAGTGATGATCACGTTGAGTTTGTATTGATTTATGTAGATGATATTTTATATATAGGAAAACACAGAGAGAGAAGAGAAATCTTTGTAAACAAGTTAAATGAACATTTCTCGTTGAAATCTCTAGGTAAAGTAAACAAATACCTTGGTGTACAAATTAACAAAACTAGAAGGGGTTTCAAACTTACTCAGAAAGATAAGATTATTGAACTTCTAAACAAATGCAATTTAAACAATGCCAAACCCTGTGACACCCCTATGCAAACTGATTTCCTTAGAAATACTGATGAATCTTCCCCTGAATTCAAGGATAATACATTTTATAGATCAGTCATAGGTTCACTTTTTATATATCTAATTGGACCAGGCCAGATATTGCATTACCACTCAATTTATTATCAAGGCACGTTAGTAAACCAACAATGTATCACTGGGAAGCTGTCAAAAGAATTTTAAGATATCTGAAAAGTACATTAGACTTTTGTCTAGTATTAGAGCCTAGTAATAATAAAGAACCAAGACTTACATGTTACGCAGATGCGGATTGGGCTGGAGATACATCATGCAGAAAAAGTACTTCTGGTTATATTTTTCTGTTAAATGACTGTCCAGTTTACTGGTACACTGGTAAACAAGAACTGGTAGCCACTTCAACCACAGAAGCGGAATATGTTTGTTTATCCAAAGCTGCAAATAACCTTGTATGGTTTAATGATTTAATTTCAGATGTTTGGAAAAAACCTGCTTTGCCTTTTGTTATGCATGAAGACAATAAAGCGGCCATTGAAATATCTAGATCCGATGCCATTGGACAAAGATCCAGGCATATAGATATAAAATTTAAGCATGTGAGACAATTGTCCCAAGATGGATTTATCAAAGCAGTGCATTGTGATACCTCTGAACAATTAGCTGACATATTGACGAAGCCTTTACCTTCTAAACAGCACAAATACTTAACTTCCAAATTGTATGTATTATATTGTCCTGAATCTGAATGTAATTGGTGTTGTATAGCGAACCGGCATTTAGAGGGGGATTTGTCAGATGTAAATGCCTTATTCCCTAATGTGTAAATAATGTATATATGGGATATCAGGGGTTAACTTATTCTTTGTTTCTTAATGTATTCATAATTCACCACTCCTACTCTTGGCTCCACCCTTTGTATATATAAGGAGCCACCTTCACCATTTTCCTCGCTTCTATCTGTGAATATTCAGTGAATATAGAATGCCTACTATAATTAAAGAGAAATATATTTGAACCTCTAACTCTCATTATTATTATTGAGTCTGATCCTAGAAATATTGCAACAACAACAATTCATTTAGTGACTGTTCAATATTAGAACGGCACTGAAAAGTGTGACTTATGACCGTTTTTCATAGTTATGATCTTTGCAGCATCCCTGTGATCATGTGATCAAAATTCAGATGCTTGGCAACCGGTTCATACTTATGACCGTTTGCTGTGTCCACCAAGGTCATGTGATCTCCTTTTGCGACCTTCAAGACAAGCAAAGTCAACGGGGAAGCCAGGTTCACTTAACAACCGGGTTACTAACTTAACAACTTCCATTTATTCACTTAACAACTGTGGCAAGACGGGTTTGTAAAATGGGACAAAACTCATTCAGCAAATGCCTCACTTAACCCACAGAAAGTTTGGACTCCTTTGTGGTCATAAGTCGAGGTCTTCCCTGTGTATTCATCCAGCCCCTAAGACAGACAAATGGTCTTTCAGAAAACGAAAACAGCTTTAAGTGGATTTGGCCAGTTTGGATGGGAATCGAAGCAAAATGATAAAAATAAAAGAAGAAGAAGTTAGAACTAACCTTGTGGAGTATTGATCTAAAACTCCAGGCCCGACGTTATAGGATACGTTGAGATTTCCTTTCCAACTCTTGTCTGGAGCTGCAGAACCACCCATGAGCCTGGAAAAACAAAGAAACTTCCTTTGTCTTTTCTCACGCTCTTTGAGAACTTTTTACACCTCCCATCCTGATAATGTTCTTTAAAAAAAAAAACTAGCTGTCCTCCCAAGCCTTGGGACAGGACATTTGTGGAACTCAAGATTGACTGATTGTGGAGCAGTTTGTCCGGACACTTAAGATTCTTTCAATTGCTAGCTAGCTAGCTAGCTAGCTAGCTAGCTAGCTATTTATTTATTTATTTATTTATTTATTTATTTATTTATTTATTTATTTATTTATTTATTTATTTATCTATTTATCTATTTATTTATTTATTTATTCATTCATTCATTTATTTATTTATTTATTTTTAACCCGCCTTCGAGGGAGGGGGGTGAGCTAGTTAAAAGTGGTTAAAGACGCTGATCTTGTCAGTTAGAAAGCTGACAGCTCGAGTTTCAGACCCGAGCGTCACACGACAGAGTGAGCTCCCGTTCCTTGCTGCAACTCCTGCCCACGTAGCAGTTCAAAAGCATGCAAATGCGAGTAGATAAATAGCTACCACTTCGGCGAGAAGGTAACGGCATTCTGTGAGCCTTGGCATATAGTTATGCTGGCCACATGATTATGGGAAATGTCTTTGGACAATGTTGACTCCCTCAGATAAGAAAACGGAGATGCCCCTAGAGTCAGACACAACTGGACAGGGGAAACTTTTATTCTCTATATCCCGCCTTTATTATTTTTACAAATAACGCAAGGCAGTGAACATATCCCACACAACTTCCTCCTCCTATTTTCTCCACAACGACAACCCTGTGAGGTGAGGTGAGTTGGGCTGAGAGAGAGTAGCTGACCCAAAGTCACCCTGCTGGCTTTCGTGGCTAAAGTGGGACTAGAACTCACTAGATTAGAACTAGCTTTCTAATCTAGTACCTTAATCGCTGGACCAAATTGGCTCTGTTTTAAATATATTCTGCCCAGAGTGTTTCTGGAGTCTGGTGGGTTCTAAAGTTAATCAATCAATCAACCAACCAAACAATCAATCAATTAATCAGACAATCAATGGTTTATATCTCAACAACAACCGTGTAAAATGGGTTGAGTTGAGAATGAGTGACTCTTCCAAAGTCTCTGTCAACTTTGAAGCGAACCTGGCTGAAGCCATCTTGAGTTGCCTCATAGTTGCCACGAAGCCAGAGATGGGGAAAGGAGGGAGGAAGCAGATAGCCAGGCTCCAGTCAAAACAAAATGCTTTCTTGTGGGAACCAAGGTCATTGAAACAGGTGGCCGTTGAAAGAGGAGAAGAGACTGCCCTTCCATCTTCATTGGACCATGTGACCGGTGACACCTGGGAGGGGGGAATCTGATTCTTTTAATTAGGTGAAAACAGCAGGAACTGTCAGAGGTGGTTTTCACCGGCTGTGCCAATATGATGTACCCAATAAACATATCCTTTGAGGAATCTACCTGCCTCGGAGTTATGCTTTCAATGGGTGCATTACTCAGAACAATGACAGTCCCTTCCATGCTTTAGGGAAAACTAGAACGCACAGTCTCCTGGTTTCTTCTCCAGCACCATTTACCATTACACCAAACCCACTTCCAGGTTGGATAAGCTTTCACGACTGATGTCAGTCCTTTAAGGTGGGCCCGGTCAAGAAACAGGCATGGTAAAAGGTAAAGGTAAAGGTTCCCCTCGCACTATGTGCTAGTCGTTCCCGACTCTAGGGGGCGGTGCTCACCTCCATTTCAAAGCCGAAGAGCCAGCGCTGTCCGAAGATGTCTCTGTGGTCATGTAGCCAGCATGACTAAAGGCCAAAGGCGCACGGAACGCTGTTACCTTCCCACCAAAGGTGGTCCCTATTTTTCTACTTGCATTTTTTACCTGCTTTCAAACTGCTAGGTTGGCAGAAGCTGAGATAAGTAACGGGAGCTCACCCCGTTACGTGGCACTAGGGATTCGAACCTCTGAACTGCCGACCTTTCGATCAACAAAGTTCAGATTCTTAGCCACCTTTTTCAGTTCACATAAGTACCAAATGTAATTTAATCTGCATACCTTAATAAAACTTCAGCATCATGGTAACTAATGGGGTGTACTGGAATGGTGGGGATTCCCACTCCATCACTAACGTCAAGTCTGAACATGTAGTCTGAAAAGAATCAAAGAGGGTTTGAGATGAGTAGGATAGGAACACATGGAATCAGAGTTACCAGTACTTGATCCTCCATTTGCAACCGTTCGTTTTGGGACCATGCAAAGTTTCAAGGGCACTGAAAAATAGTGACCGATGACCTGTCCTTGAATGTACAACTGTTGCAGCATCTCCATGACCACGTGATCAAAATTTGGGTGCTTGACAGCTGCTTGCAGCATTCAGGGTCAGGTGATGACCTTCCCAGCTGGATTCTGACAAGCAAAGTCAGTGGGGGAAGCTGGTTTCTCTTAACCACCATGTGATTCACTTAACTGCAGTGATTCAGTTGAACAACCAATGGTAGAAAAGGTCACAAAATCAGGCATGACTCACTTAACAACTGCCTTGCTTAGCAACAGAAATTCTGGTCTCAGTTGTGGTTCTTAACTCAAGGACTATCTGTACAGTTTTCATTTACACTTGGCCAATAAAGAATTCTATTCTATTCTGTTCTGTTCTGTTCTGTTCTGTTCTGTTCTGTTCTGTTCTGTTCTACTCTATTAACTTATCTTCTCCTCTCCTCTCCTCTCCTCTCCTCTCCTCTCCTCTCCTCTCCTCTCCTCTCCTCTTCCATGCCATGCCATGCCATGCCATGCTACTCTACTCTACTCTACTCTACTCTACTCTACTCTACTCTACTCTACTCTACTCTACTCTACTCTACTCTACTCTACTCTACTCTATTTAGTGATCTGCAGAGGCATTTAGATTGTGTTGCTGAACTTCCAACAGTAAAAACATTGATTTTTCAGCTCTGGCTTCACATTAATTTGCCACTGAAAGATGCCAATTAATATTTTCATACTGACATTTCAGCATTTTTTCAACCCTTGGAGGCATCACTCAATTGCTATGCATATCTCCACATGACTTATTTTAAAGAGTGTATCCATATTTTTTTGAGGAGCTTACAGTATTTTCCAGTTTCATCTGAAGTGTTCAAAACTGGTTGTTGTTGTTAGTTGCGAAGTCGTGTCCAACCCATCACAACCCCATGGACAATGTTCCTCCAGGACTTCCTGTCCTCTACCATCCTCTGGAATCCTTTAAAGCTCATGCCTACTGCTTCAGTGACTCCATTCAGCCATCTCGTTCTCTGCCATCCCCTTCTTCTTTTGCCCTCAATCTTTCCCAGCATTAGGCTCTTCTCCAGTGAGTCCTTCCTTCTCATTAGATGGCCAAAATATTTGAGTTTCATCTTGAGGATCTGGCCTTCTAAAGAGCAGTCAGGGTTGATCTCCTCTAGGACCGATTGGTCTGATCGCCTTGCAGTCCAAGGGACTTGCAGGAGTCTTCTCCAGCACCAGAGTTCAAAGGCCTCAATTCTTTGACACTCAGCCTTCCTTATGGTCCAACTTTCACAGCCAGACATTGCAACTGGGAAAACCAAAGCCTTGACTATACGCAGTTTTGTTGGCAGAGTGATGTCTCTGCTTTTTAGTACGCTGTCTAGATTTGCCATAACTTTCCTCCCCAGGAGCAAGCATCTTTTAATTTCTTGGCTGTAGTTCCCATCTGTGATGATCTTGGAGCCTAGGAAAATAAAATCTGTCACTACCTCCATTTCTTCCCCATCTATTTGCCAGGAGTTGAGAGGGCCAGGAGCCATGATCTTAGTTTTCTTAATGTTGAGTTTCAAGCCAACTTTTGCACTCTCCTCCTTCACCCGCATCAAGAGGCTCTTTAGTTCCTCTTCACTTTCTGCCATTAGGGTGGTATCATCTGCATATCTGAGGTTGTTGATATTTCTCACGGCGATCTTAATTCCAATTTTTGATTCATCTAGCCCCACCTTTCTCATGATGTGCTCTGCATGTAAGTTAAATAGGCAGGGCGACAGTATACAGTCTTGCCGGACTCCTTTCCCAATTTTGAACCAATCAAAACTGGTAACTGCCAACTATTACAGGTAGTCCTTTACTTACAACAGTTCATTTAGTAACCATTCGAAGTTACAACAGCACTGGAAAAAGTGACTCACCCTTACGACCATTGCAGCCTCCCCATGGTCATGTGATCAAAATTCAGATTCTTGGCAACTGGTTCATATTTATGTTACAGTGTCCCAGGGTCATGGAATCCCTTTTTCTGACTTTCTGACAATTAGAGTCAATGGGGAACCCAGATTCACATAACAACAGGGTTACTACTGCAATGATTCACTCAATCGTTACAACTGCAACGATTCACTCAATCGTTACAACTGCAACAATTCACTCAACAACTGTGGTGGAAATTATCGTAAAATTATCGTAAAACTCACTTAACTGCTGTCTCACTTAACAACAGAAATGTTAGGCTCAATTATGTCGTAAATTGAAGACTATCTATATATGGAAAGCGAACATTACATCAACAAGCTATGGTTTCTCCTACCTAAAGAGGGTCAGTCAAGGGCCTGTGGACACTAACCTTTGGCTGGATAGCCTGGAGTGAGGGGATCTCCTGCCCCGTTGAGATTTAACACATTTCCACGCTGAACCCCCTGTCCAGGAAGATTCCAGCCGTCTGGGTAAGGTTTGACCCCAGGTGCACAATAATCTGCAGGATCAGAGTAAAGGATAATTCCTTTTGCTCCTGCCAACATGGCATTTTTAACCTGCAGAAAAATCAACTGTTAAGAAGCAAAATGGTCTTGCATCCCCTTGAGTTTCTGGGGTAGCATTAATGGGATTGAGATGAGCATGACTCCAAGGGTTACTGTATCTCTATGTATCAGAGGCAGTGGTAGGATTCAGCCGGTTTGGGCTGGTTCGGGCCGGTTCGGGTGAACCGCTTATTAAATTGCTGGCTGGCCTCTCCCCTCCCTGTCCCTTCCAGGAGTCCCCATGTGCTCTGTCTTTGCTCCCAAGAGGCTGCAGGGAGGCCTACTAGGCCCAAAACAGGGAACGGGGGGGGGGGCGGCATGCCCCTCCCCCAAGGCCCGTTTTTGCTCCCAGAGGGATGCAGAAGGCCGAGTGCTGCCTGTCACACCCCACCATGGCCATGCCCACCCAGCCAGTCATTAGGGCAGAGAACCAGTTGTTAAATTATTTGAATCCCACCATTGATCAGAGGCCTTCCCATATTTACTCTAACAAAATAGCTGATGCCCTCATGGTCACGTGTCTGGACTACTACAGTGCACTCTACATAGGGCTGCCTTTGAAAACCACACGGAAGCGTCAATTAATCCAGAATGTAGCAACCCAGCTGCTGTTGGTGAATATTTGCCAGGACTCCCTCAATCAGAATTGGGGGTGGGTGGGTAATTATCCTAGATTCAGAGCTTCCTCTTGGGAAGGCCTTTGAACAAATCCATTTTGTATCCTAATTGTGCCCATTCCTCTAATCTGGATTACTGCAACGCACTCAACAGGACCACAAATGGCCTACTTGTAGTGTAAGAGGAAATCAAGAAGAGGAGATCAAGAAGAGGAGAGATGAAATATAGTTGGGCTCTTAGGCCAGAGCAGGGTGTCTCTCTCTCTCTCTCTCTCTCTCTCTCTCTCTCTCTCTCTCTCTCTCTTTCTCTCCCTCCTGCCCTTCTTTCCCTCTCACTTTCCCTCGCTTTCCCTCTCCAGCTCTCCCTCCCTCTTCCTTTCTCCTTCCCTCCTTCCCTGTCTCTCCCTCTCCCTTTCTCCCTCCCTCCCTCTCCCTCCCTCCCTCTCCCTCCCTCTTCCTGTCCTTCTCTCCCACCCTGTCTCCCTCCCTTCCTCTGTCCCTCCCTCTTCTTCTCTCCTTCTCCCTCCCTCCCTCCCACCCTGTCTCTCCCTTCCTCCCTCTCCCTCTCCCTCCCTCTTCCTGTCCTTCTCTCCCACCCTGTCTCCCTCCCTTCCTCTGTCCCTCCCTCTTCTTCTCTCCTTCTCCCTCCCTCCCTCCCACCCTGTCTCTCCCTTCCTCCCTCTCCCTCTCCCTCCCTCTTCCTGTCCTTCTCTCCCACCCTGTCTCCCTCCCTTCCTCTGTCCCTCCCTCTTCTTCTCTCCTTCTCCCTCCCTCCCTCCCACCCTGTCTCTCCCTTCCTCCCTCTCTCTCTCCCTCCCTCTTCCTGTCCTTCTCTCCCACCCTGTCTCCCTTCCTTCCTCTGCCCCCCTTTCCTTCTCTCCTTCTCCCTCCCTCCCTCCGTCTTTCCCTCTCCCTTCCTCCCTCTCTCTCTCCCTCCCTCTTCCTGTCCTTCTCTCCCACCCTTTCTCCCTCCCTTCCTCTGTCCCTCCCTCTTCTTCTCTCCTCCCTCCCTCCCTCTCCTTCTCCCTTTCCCTCTCTTTTCCTCCCTCTCTCTCCCTCTCTGTGTTTGTGTGCATATGTAGCAGGAAAACCTGATAGTCAGGGAAGCTGACAAGAAGTCCACAAATAAGAAATCAAGGTTAGGTTGGGTGGATTCATAATGGGAGCCCAATTATCAATTGGTAATCAAAACAGCATTATTCTGGATGACGTGCTAAACCAAGGTCCCTAGAACAATTTGCCTCTAGTAACCTTAACATAAACGTTTGGCTCCCACAGTTTGTAAAACACCAACTGGACTCTCACCAAACATTCCACCACAAAGGACTGAATTGTATTTGAGGCTTCTACCACACAAGTTTTCAAAAATTCCACATCCAATTAATGAACCGTTACTTTTTTAAAAAAATAATATGTGCAGCAGAGATGGGTTTCAGCAGGTTCTGACCAGTTCTGGAGAACCGGTAGCGGAAATTTTGAGTAGTTCGGAGAACCGGTAGTAAAAATTCTGACTGGTCCCGCCCCCATCTATTCTCTGCCTCCCAAGTCCCAGCTGATCGGGAGGAAAAGGGGATTTTGCAGTATCCTTCCCCTGCCACGCCCATCAAGCCACGCCCACCAAGGCATGCCACATCCACCAAGCCACACCCACAGAACCGGTAATAAAAAAATTTGAAACCCACCACTGATATGCAGTATTTAAACAAAGCCCTAACAAAGACATTAAAAATATTTCTTTTGGTAGCATTGATCGCCACCGAGAAACCCTAAAGACAGCAGGTCTGAAAGAATGAAAATAAAGATGTTGATAACTCACTTTGTTTCCTCTGAATATTTTTCCATATCGGGCAATAAGAATCTTTCCTGTACAGTTTATTCCCATTTCTCTCTCTAACTTGAAAAAATCTTCCGTGCGTCCATAGTTGACATAAACCAGATCGGCCTTTTCAGGATGGAAACAAAAACAGCATTTTTTTTTTTTGGTCTGGTACTGTTAATTTTGTTTCATTTCCTACTGCACATGCAATCAGTTTCACTGATGCAGAGAACTGTTTCCTGAACGTCTATGCTCGGGATCAACAACATGATGCCTAAAACTGCAAACATCCCCATAAACCCACATTTGATTCCTCCTTCAGGCCTCCCATCTCGTTTTTTTTAAAGTTGAAATGGTTTATTGAAAGTTAGCAATATCGCAAAGCAGAAAAGCTTTATTTACAGTAAATTGAAGCTGCCCAGATAGACGTACTTAGAAAGTAACAACAGAGTGTTGAGTGTTGACATCATATGATGATGTCAGGCCTGGAAGCCATATTTTTCGTTGGGCCTTCAGGCCTGCCACATTTATTACGGTGGGAAACTGGGAGGGGGGATTGCATGGAGCCAGGGTGATACATAGTCATAATAACATTCTTTTCTCTGAGAGTCAAGGACATCTTGCCCTGCACCTGGATGGCAGAAACTGGGAGGCATCTCCAGTTGGGACGGTACTTTGATTGGACCATGTGATGGACATGTGGGTGCTGGGCAGGGACTTGAACTTTTCTTTGGGTGGGGAAAACCTGGAAGCTTTCAGATCAGGGGTGGGTTCTACTTACCTTTACTACCAGTTCGCAACGCGTGCACGCTCTTCTGCACTTGTGCAGATCGTCAATTATTATATCCGGGCGGGTGGGTGGAGCCTCCCACCGCTTTTACTACCAGTTCTATAGAACCGGACAGAACCGGAAGCAACCAGAAGCAACCGGAAGCAGATTCAGGTTTTCCCAGATGTGCCAGTATGACATCTCTAATGAAATGGAACTTTGAGGAAACTCAAGCTTTGGAGCTTTGGAGCTTTGGAGTTTTCTTTCATTGGGGGTGTTACTTGGAACCCTGACATTAACCCGAATCTTATCTTCATTAACCCCAGATGATTTCAATGACCCTCAGAGTGTTAATGACTGTCTGGCTGCAAATACGATAAATCCTTTCCATTCCCCACCAGTTAGTTAGAACTGAAGAAGTTTCTTAGATGAGAACTGAAATGTCTTCAAGAAAAGTCAAGAAAGTCCAGTTGCCATTTTTGAAAGCCAGCATCACATCTCAAGATACAGTGGTACCTTGATACTCATCGTTAATTGGTTCCGGGAGACACGATTAGTACCAAAAACAATGAGTACGAAACAATTTTTTCCCATAAGGAATAATGTAGTGAGTCACAAGGCAGCTGACACCGACAAGTTCTAGCTTGTACATCAAATACTAAACAAACAATGAGTACCAGGACAAAATTTTCACTTCAAACTGCGTTGAGTACCAAGTTCAATGAGTTTCAAAGCAGTGGAATGCCAAGGTACCACTGTAATAGATTTCACACAAGTCAAATTGTTCAGGTCCTTACCTGTGGCTCACCCTGTGCTGAAAAAGCATTATACGGTGGTAGCACTCCAGAAATATTTGCATAACCTTCGGGAGGGGGTTCAAACAACGATGAGTTGAAAATCTACTCAGAAAAAAAAAAAGACAGAAGTTTCATCGAAAACTGAAATGATAGCCTGGTTAGGTTGTAGACTTGGCAGGCTCCTAACATTACAATTCTTTTGAAGGTTTCCGTTTTGATTTTCAAATTTCACTTAGAAATGGACATCTGATCCGAAGTGTTGAAATCAGAAGGCACATCTGCAATTCAGATTTACCTTCCAAGTGGTTATAACTGCCATATAAAAATTTAGGGAGCTCCGTTTTCTATAGAGTGCTATAGAGCACTGCACACCAGAACAACTACACACAAGAAAAGTTTTTTCCCCGAATGCCATCACTCTGCTAAACAAATAATTCCCTCAACACTGTCAAACTATTCACTAAGTCTGCATTACTATTAATCTTCTCATCGTTCCCACCACCCATCTCCTCCCACTTATGACTATATGACTGTAACCTTGTTGCTGGTATCCTTGCGATTTATATTGACTGTTTCCTAATATGATTTGATTACTTATTTGTACCCTATGACTATCATTAAGTGTTGTACCTTATGATTCTTGACAAATGTATCTTTTCTTTTATGTACACTGAGAGCTTATGCACCAAAGACAAATTCCTTGTGTGTCCAATCACACTTGGCCAATAAAGAATTCTATTCTATTCTATTCTATTCTATTCTATTCTATTCTATTCTATTCGCTGCAGAGGGTTGCAGGAGGATGTTGCAGCCGAAAACGGAGTTTGTGAGGGCCGCATGCGGCCATCCCGAGCTCCGTTTTCGCTGGCAGAGGGTTGCAGGAGGCCGTCGCAGCTGAAAACGGAGCTCTGGAGTCCATTTTTGCTGGCAGAGCATTCGGTCCACCACAGGCGCCCCCCGACCCAAGTGACATCAAGCTGGCCACTCCCACTCTGGCCACGCCCATCCCGGGTCCCTGAGGTCAAAACACAACCCTGATGCAGCCCTCAATGAAATCGAGTTTGACAGCCCTGTTCTAGAGGAATCTTAGGTTTTGCTGTGGCTTGCCTCCACGCAGTCTTCCACCCAGTTTTTCCCCTGGGGGCTTCTCCCCCACAGAAGAAGAAACATCTTGCTTTCCGTACCTCTTTTCCACCATTGTCGGTAATGGAGATATAGTTGGGAGAGCTTTGATTTGGGTAAGAAAGGAGGACGTCATAGTGAACCAGTTCTGCTGTGTCCAAGCCAAAGGTCTTCCACTGGCTCTGGATTTGCTTGGCCAACCGAAGGTTCTGCTCTGTTCCGGCCACATGTGGGAAGCTGGTGAAGGAGCTAGAAAAAGCACAGCTCCTCAGGATGGAAGCACAGCTGAGCCCAGAAACGGGGCTACTGTTTTGGTTTTTTTAAAAAAATCTATTTAGCATATAGCATCTACAGAAGTATATATTGTTATATATTATAATTATGAGCCACGGTGGCTCAGTGGTTAGAGTGCAGTACTGCAGGCTACTTCTGCTGACTGCCGGCTGACTGCAATTCGGCTGTTCGAGCATCACTCAGGTTGATTCAGCCTTCCATCCTTCTGAGGTGGGTAAAATGAGGACTCAGATTGTTGGGGGCAATATGCTGACTCTGTAAACCGTTTAGAGAGAGCAGTAAAGCACTGTGAAGCAGTATATAAGTCTAAGTGCTATTGCGAAGGAAGGGAGGCAGGGAGGGAAGGAGGGAGGGAAGGATGGTGGAAGGGGAAGAAAGGACGGAGGGAGGGAGGAAGAGAGGAAGGAAGGAAGGAAGGAAGGAAGGAAGGAAGGAAGGAAGGAAGGTTAGACTATATCGTTGCAAGCTAACTCTGCCCACTGCCAGAAGTTCGATCCTGACCAGCTCAAGGTTGACTCAGTCTTCCATCCTTCTGAGGTGTGTAAAATGAGACCCAGATTGTTGGGGGCAATACGCTGTCTCTGTAAACCACTTAGAGAGGGCTGCAAAGCACTGTAAAGTGGTATATCAGTTTAAGTGATATTGATATATTGATAATATATAATTAATTATAAACAGTGAGTGTGTGTGTGTGTGTGTATTTTTCCTCGAGCCAGGTTTTTCCTACGTAACCAAGGTTTTTCTGCAGCCCTAGCTCAGTAGAATCACATCCACTCGATTCTGGGCTTTTTTCCTTTCTGGCAGCCAGCAAGTTCTTGCTGCTAGGTGAGAGACTAGGGCTGCAGAAAAACCTTGGTTATGTAGGAAAAACCTGGCTAGAGGAAAAACACACATAAATCCTATGAAGAAGTAAGAAAATAGATATTGTACCTTTACAGGGAGGATATATGAGATGTGGGTGTGGCTTACTGATGAAGGCTAACGAGCCAGAAATAGATCTATATAAGTCTCTCACCTAGCAGGAAGAACTTGCTGGCTGCCAGAAAGGAAAAAAGCCCAGAATTGAGTGGATGTGATTCTATTGAGCTACGGCTGTGTTCTACCCCATTTTATGAACTTTCTTAACACAGATGTTTATATGTGCGTGTGTGTATGCATGTGTGTGTGTGTACATACATATACATTCACATACACACACAAGTAGTCATCAACTTACAACTATTATATATGTATATGTTTGTGTATATGTATGTATGTATGCATGCATGTATATGTATGTGTGTGTGTGTGTATTCACACACACAGAAACAGACAGACAGACATATAGTTACATAGATAGACAGATATGGCAAAGTATTTGTGTGTGTGTGTGTGTGTGTGTGTGTGTGTGTGTGTGATCAGCCCAATCCAGATGTCAGGTTTCGATGTCATCTCAAATAAAATAAATTGCATTTCCAAATGAATAGTCTTTGACAAAATCTTTCATTTTATTAAGCATGACAATCTGTCCCCGATTGTGGCGTAGCCAACACTGATTTCCTGACCCCAAACCTTCCCTTTCCATTTCCCAATTCTCTGCATCTCATTGGCCATCTTCCAAATCACTCTCCCCATATCTACTATTTCAGCTCCCAGGAATGTCCCCCCTCCCATCTCATCTCCTAGGGGATATTATCTTCAGGGAAAATAAGTAGATGAGAAGTCAAGCGTCCTCTTGCCAGCTGCCCCCTCTTCTCCTTCTTATGTCAGCACTAGAGTAAATGCAGGTTGAAGTGCTGACACCAGATTGTTTTCCAAAGCCTACAGAATTAAAAAAAAAACAAAAAAACAGCAATCGGCGGTCAAAACAGCAGACTTACTGTAGAAAATCCTGGATATTTTCTGCCTTCATTTCCGAAAACAGCTGTTTTCTTACACTTAGAAAAACCTGGTTGGTGCCATGTGGGTCGATTAAGAATTTCACCAACCAACCTGCAGGGTCAAAAAAAAAGAACAAGATGATAGTCCATTTATTCCTCCCCAACAATCGACAGAATAACAGAGTCGGAGGGACCTTGGAGGTCTTCTAGTCCAACCCCCTGCTCAAGCAAGAGACCCTATGCCATTTCAGAGACCTAATGGCTGACCTATATATATAGATAAGATAAGAGATAAGAGATAAGAGATAAGAGATAAGAGATAAGAGATAAGAGATAAGATAAGATAAGATAAGATAAGATAAGATAAGATAAGATAAGATAAACTTTATTGCCATTGTTTTACTGTGAGCACATCAGTGGTTGGTTTCAATTTTTTTTACTACCGGTTCTGTGGGTGTGGCTTGGTGGGTGTGACATGGCTTGATGGGCGTGGCAGGGGAAGGATACTGTAAAATCTCCATTCCCTCCCCAATCCAGGGGAAGGTTACTGTAAAATCCCCATTTCCTCCCGATCAGCTGGGATTCGGGAGGCAGAGAATAGATGGGGGGGGGCAGTCAGAATTTTTACTACCGGTTCTCCGAACTACTCAAAATTTCTGCTACTGGTTCTCCAGAACTGGTCCGAACCTGCTAAAACCCATCTCTGATGGAGGCTCATCATCTGAGATGGGGTGTGGTCTTAACTTTCCGCAGTGCCCGATGGAAGTCAAGTACGAATAGAACTGTCCAAAATCAAGGGCTTGCCCCTTGACCATTCAGTAACAGGCTAAGATGCAGAAATCAGCAGGAGAAAATTCAATAGGAAAATAAGCAAAAACGTTCCTCTTATAACCCAAAATCAAGCATGTCAGCTAAAAGAGACACGTGGACAGGACATATGTCCTGCATGCAATCAACCAATCAACCTGTCAGACTTCGATGCTATCTCAAAATAAATGAATTTCCAAACTGCCAATCTTTAAGGAAATCTTTTCTTTAATTGAGCACAGCTACCGGATCATGACTCGATGCGGACAAGACTGACCTTTTGCCCCCCAATCCCTCCCTTTCCGATCCCCAAATATCTGCTTCTCATTGGCTATCTTCCAAGTCATTCTTCAGACTCCTTGTCTCGTCATTTCCCAGGAATGTCTCCTCCCCCGTCATTTCCACGACAATCGGACATCACAGAGATTTAGCAGGCAGAAGTTCAGAGCTTATCTCTCTCTCTCTCTCTCTGCTCTCTATGCCAGCGAAACGCCGACACAACCTTTTGTTATAGAATTAAAAATTAAAACTTTAAATAAATAAATCAGAACAAGACCTAGTAGTGCATATAGTGAGATCATAGATGAGAAGCCGAATTTAGAGACAGTACAACAGCGGAATTTACCTACATTGAAAGAAACTCTATCATATTGAGCCCATAGTAACAGCTGTACTAGGTACGAGGTATGTATGTACGAGGGATGCGGTGGCTCAGTGACTAAGATGCTGAGCTTGTCGATCAAAAGGTCGGCAGTTCAGCAGTTCGAATCCCTAGTGCCGCATAACAGGGTGAGCTCCCGTGACTTGTCCCAGCTTCTGCCAATCTAGCAGTTCGAAAGCATGTGAAAAATGCAAGTAGAAAAATAGGGACCATCTTTGGTGGGAAGATAACAGCGTTCCGTGCGCCCTTTGGCGTTGAGTAATGCCGGCCACATGACCACGGAGACGTCTTCGGACAGCGCTGGCTCTTCGGGTTTGAAACAGAGATGAGCACCGCCCCCTAGAGTCGGAAACGACTAGCGCATATGTGCGAGGGTTACCTTTACCTTTAACAGCTGCACATAAAAGAAATCAGAATTTCCCAGATATTATAGCAGGTGGGGAGTTATAAAATGAGTCCGTGAATGTTTCCAGAGGATATAATATAACAGGATATGAGCTGTGGTTTCAATAGTCCCTTGTCCACAGGGGCACAATCTCAGCTCCTCTGGGACTTTTTTGTGTCAGCCCCACAGGACTGCTGTGGGGAGAACCTTACAGCATGCTAGAGTTAGTGCTCTCCAAAATTTAGAGAGAGGTGGTGCAGTTCTTGGTAATCCTGCAAAAAGCTGCTACTTTAGGCTAAAATCAGAAAATATTTGCTGTCTAGGAGTGGTAAGAGGGATATTTGATGCCTGGAGCATCAATGTAGAATGAGATGGGATGGGATGGGATTAGTGGTGGGTTACTACTGGTTTGCCTGGGTTCGGGCAAACATGTAGCGGTGGCAGCAGTAGCGGGAGGCTCCGCCCACCCACCCAGACATCACGGACGCTCTGCGCATACATAGAAGGTTCTGTGCATGTGCAGAAGTGCAGCGCGCGAGGGCTCACAGTTCCGAACCGGTAGCGAAGGTAAGTGAAAACCACTACTGTGGGGGATGGGATGTAGTAGAATGAAGAGAAGAATAGAGTAGAGTAGAGTAGAGAAGAGAAGAGAAGAGAAGAGAAGAGAAGAGAAGAGAAGAGAAGAGAAGAGAAGAAGAGAAGAGAAGAGAAGAGAAGAGAAGAGAAGAGAAGAGAAGAGAAGAGAACAGAACAGAACAGAACAGAACAGAACAGAACAGAACAGAACAGAACAAAATTCTTTATTGGCCAAGTGTGATTGAAAACACAAGGAATTTGTCTCCAGTATAGGAGCACACAATATATTTCCAAACAACAGAGAAAATAGTAGTAATAATAAACATCATCAAACATCTTAATACTATCCTTCTGTTGATGCAGCCTAGGAGTGTGTCATGCAGTCTCTTCCAGAATAGAGTAGAGTAGAGTAGAGTAGGGTAGGGTAGGGTAGAGTAGAGTAGAGTAGAGTAGAGTAGAGTAGAGTAGAGTAGAATTCTTTATTGGCCAAGTGTGACTGGACACACACAAGGAATTTGTCTCCAATGCATAAGCTCTCAGGTATACATGCAAGCAACAAGTTGATGAGATGATCATACTCACAAAATACAATCATCATAAATCATAAGATACAGCACTCAGCGACAGTCGTAAGATTAGTATGTTCCTTTAACAGAGAATTTGGGGAAAAGCCACTTTGTTCTAGTGGTTGAAGCATCAGGCTAGAAAGAGGGTGAATTCTAGTCCCACCTTAACCATGAAAGCCAGGTGGGTGACTTTGCACCTGTCACCAGGAGATAGTGAGTTCTAGTCCTACCATAGGCATGAAAGCTGGCTTTGACCCAATCTCTCTCTCTCTCTCTCTCTCTCTCTCTCTCTCTCTCTCTCTCTCTTTCTCTCCCTCCCTCCCTCCCTCCCTCCCTCTCTCTCTCTCTCTCTCTCCCTCCCTCCCTCCCTCCCTCCCTCCCTCCCTCTCCCTCTCCCTCTCTCTCAGCCCAACCCACCTCCCAGGGTTGTTGTTGTGGAGAAAATAGGAGGAGGAAGGAGTATTATGTATGTTCCATGCCTTGGGTTATTTCCAATGGTGGGCTGCTGCCAGTTCGGACCAGTTCAAGCGAACCGGTAGTTTCAACAATCAGTTGGCCCCGCCTACCTACACCCACCCTATCCTGTCCTATATTTCCTTCTTTCTGGCTCAGCTGATTCGCGCAGCACAGCTGATTTCTGCACCTCTACTGTTCTACTTACCGGGCCTGCCAACCATTTGCAGCCCACCACTGGTTATTTGTCACAACAATAAGGACAGGATACAAACAAATAAACAAATTTTGTGAGAAGAATCCTCCATTCCTCTAACCGCAATAAAATACCTTATGCCACCAGACTTCAAATTTTGGGCTTAGACAAGTTAGAACTACACCAACTTCAGTCTGACCTAAGCACAGTACATAAAATTATCTGCCACAATGTCCTTCCTGTCAATGACTACTTCAGCTTCAACCACAACAATACACGAGCAAATAATAGATACAAACTCAAGGTAAACCGCTCCAAACTCGATTGCAGAAAATACGACTTCAACAACAGAGTGGTCAATGCCTGGAATGCACTACCTGACTCTGTGGTTTCTTCCCCAATCCCCCAAATCTTTAACCTTAGATTCTCTACCGTGGACCTCACCCCATTCCTAAGAGGTCTGTAAGGGGCGTGCATAAGTGCACCAGCGTGCCTACCGTCCCTGTCCTAATATTCCCTTTTACTTACTCTTTTCATGTATTCAAATTATGTTTATACTTTTACCTGTTAATCTTATATATGCTGGACAAATAAATTTATGATTATGAAAAAAAATAACACGCAAATGCAAACTGCATTGCATTTCTATCATCAGGATGGCAACAGATCTTTTTCCATTTCTGTCCTGTCAGGACTGCAAAAGATATTATTCCACTCACGTGCCTACCTGGGCAAAATTGCATCAAAGAAATAATTGCATAGCTGCTCCTTTGTTTTGCTACTGGAGTCTAGCCAGGGCGAAGTGAGTAACAGCATTGTAGGGCACTTTTTTTTTTTAATGAAGGAGTAAAGTTTCTCTTGATTAGATTGCAACATCTGGAGAATTTATTAGTTGGGGGAAGAAGGACAAGGAAGTGGCACCTCCAAGAATTATTGCAGGAGGGAAAGGAAACCGGTTAAGACTTAATCTTGACGTTTGTTTTGGCTTATTTCGGTCAGCGAGTTCAGGGGGGATTAAAAAGGGCAACGAAAGTTTACACTGGCAGGAAAGAACACCCTTTGCAAACTCGTTGGAGAAACTGCATTGTTTACTCTTTGCCCATCTCAGCTCTAACTCAAGCAGATTATTTGTTGACAGCTTTTTCTCTTTCTCTCCTTTTCTTGTTTATACAGCAAGGAAGCAATAGGGATCTGCAAAAAAAAAAGCCCTACTTTACGTCAAGAAGATTGTTGCTGACCCCTTTAAATGGGGCTGGGAAAATCCCTGCCGGAATCTTTTTGAGAAAAAGGATCAAACCTTTAATACAGCTAATCCTCGATTTATGGCTGTTTGCTTAGTGACTTAGTTCAAAATTATATGGACCTCCTCCGGGATACTTACAACCTGTTTCTGCAGTTCTGACGGTTGCCCTCCCCCATGGTCATGTGACCACATTTATGGCTTTTTGAAGTTACCCACAGTCATGTG